TTTCTTTGTGTCTTTTAGTTTCAGATTCTAAGAAAATCTGGTTGAGTCGTCGTAATAATCCTGACAAAGATTACTATAATTATTATCAAGCAACAGGTGGTACAAAAGAAAAAAATGAAACTTTTGAACAATGTGCTCATAGAGAAGCTAAGGAAGAAACAAATATTGAATTAAATGAACTTGAATTTATTGCTTTTAAAGAAGGATTTAGAGAATTTCCAGATGGGAAAACATGTTTGTATAAGACAAGGATTTATTATTCTATTATTGGTGATAAGAATCCTCAACAAACAGAATCAGAAAAAAATGATGAATAGCAACAATTTGAATTAAAAGATTTACAAAATCTTAAAGTAACTGATTCTATTAAAACAAATTACAGACAAATTTCTGAGATTATTAACAAAAAATTTAAAAACAAAAGAGACGTAGAATTGAGGTTGAAAGTCCAAAAATTGAAGATATAGAAAGTTTATGTGAAAATTTAAAGAACCAATAGTTTATTTTTTTTTATTTCTTTTTATTTTTATTGATTTGTAATTTATTAAATAAATTAATCTAACTAGTTTTTTGATCAGTTAGATTTTTAATTATACAATTTCAAAATGAAATTGATAGATTTATTGAAAAAAATGAAGAATGAATACAAGAAAGTTGAATATCAATGAATTACCAAACGAAATTCTAATTTTGATTTTTTATCATATTTTTCAAACAAAGATAACATTGTTTGAATTATCAACTACTTTATTGATAAAATTAGTTTGTAGAAAATAGTACGATTGTTATTTTTCGTTGTTCAAGATTCATGGAACCAAATATATTTTAACACCTAACACACATACTTTTGAGAATTATACTCCTATCAAAAAATCAGAATATTATTTTAAAATTGATGATGGGGAGTTAGTTATAGAAACTAACAATTCAATACAAACAAGGCTACAAACTTATGAAGAATATGAGCTTTCTAAAAAAGAATGTGAACGATATTTAAAAAAAAAATTCTTTTTAAATATAGCATATGGTTTAAAGATAAAGTTTAAGATTGTGAAGTGTTAGAATATAAAAGAAGAAATCAAAGTCATCATTGTCACGAGATTTGCAAGAAATGTTATAAAATTTATTCTTTAAGTTTTGATGATATGGTGTTTTTTGCTAGTCTTTTTAGTTAAAGCTTAAGTATAATCAGTTATTTAACCGATTAGAATTTTATTGATATAATCTGAAAAAGATCTATACATAATTTAAATGGAAGATGATTTTTTTCTTGATGATTCTGTATGGGAATGTTTTATTCAAAAATTAACTGAAGAGACTACCGATTTTGAATATTTTGTTTAAAAAATAGCTGGAGTATATGGTGTATCAGTTAAAGTATATCAAGGTAATAATCGTACTGATATTATTGTGAAACATATCGATTCAAAACAAGAAAAACATTTTATTTATCTTATTTATGATAATGTAGAAATAAGTATTAAATTTGGATTCCTTCTTAGAAAAGCTTTTCATCATTATTGCTAAAAGAAAAATTAAATTTTTTGATAGTATTTTTATTTAGTTTTATTCTAGCTAGTCTATTTGACCGGTTAGATTTTTAATTACATAATTTTAAAATGACTGATAAAAAGGTGAGTTATATTCACTTAATAATCATATTTGTGCATGCTGCTCTTCAGACATTAGGAATTTATTCTGGGAAGAAATTTTTTTAAAAAAATTTCTCAAGGATAAATTTTGTTTTTGCTAGAAACACGAACGTGTAAGATGCCACAACCCATGGAATAAAAATATGTTTTATTAATTTTTTTATTTTATTTTAGGTGACAAATTAGTCAAAAGGTCATATTTTCAAAAGTGATCTTCGTAAATTATTTAACCAGAATAGAATAATTGCCCATATAATTCAAGTTACTGAAGGAGTAAATTATTTAACCAGAATAGGATAATTGCCCATATAATTCAAGTTACTGAAGGAGACGGTAGATTAGATTTATTACTTTCATATAAGGGTAATCAAATATGTGTACAGTGTAAAGATAGAGAAAATGCTCTTATATTATCTATATTGAAAGAATTTGAATCCACAATGACACATTTTAAAAATTCATTGGGGATTTTGGTTTATAATAGTA